CTTTTCACAAGTGAAAAGAAAAGTGAACTCTTTATCTCTTCCACATAAACCTAAGTATTGCTTCTTTTTTGTTTTCTTTGAACTTTAACACTTATTGTATAGTAATTGTACACATGTGTATCACATAGTGAAGTCATGAGTTCCTTGAAGATAAGCACTGTGTCTTATTCCCCTCTAAATCTCTAGTCTTGGACATGATAGATGCTTAGTAAATGTGAGAGTTTAGATAGGTCAGCGAGGGAGAAAATGAATTGGAGTTCAGTTTAAGAAAATAATTGGATCCTTTATTGATGAGCAACAGCTATATTTTAAATTGTTCAGAATATTTCTTGAAAATTTTCTGTGAGATTGAACTTCATTATCTGAAGGGTCATGGGGTTGGGGGAGATTTCTTCCTCCTCAGTATTCTGTGGTAAGTAGCTACTCTTTAATGGATTTTTATTTTGTGGGCCTTAAATCTAGTCTACCTTATTCCTTGTTGGTCAGCTGGTTGTGCTAAGAAATGATATGGTATCTATTTGGAGGATCTTTAATAGATAATTTCTGTCCCCCCCCCCTTTTTTAATTGTTGTGCTGGGTAGGAGTACACTGTAGCATTTACAAAATTCTTACAATATATCAAATATATCATACTTGAATTCATCCCCTTCACTCCCCATTCTTGGAATAGTTTCAACAGGTATCATTTTTCCATTTACATACATGTGTACTCAGTATTTGCACTATATTCACCCTTCCACACCCTTTCCCCCCTCTCTCTGGTCCCAGTGGTAACAACCCTGTCCCCCAAAGCAAGACCTTTTCCTCCCTCCTGTTCTCTGATTTTGTAAAAGACAAAAAAAAAAATGACATTTTTGTTTGTTTAAGATATCTACATAGGGAGTTTCCTTGTGACATTTCCATGTATCCCTTTTTATTTCAGTGTATGTGTTTATTGCCTTTATTTTTAATGAAATAGTATTGGTGAGTTTATATTTACATTTAAAGCCTAGATCTGCTGTTCATAGCCTCTGTATGCAGCAAAAGGACTATGTCTCTCACATAGTCTGAACAAGTTCACACACAGTGAATCCTTTGAATTTCTGGCCGGGTCTCTGCTTCACATCCCATTATCACTATCTGAGAAATTTTTTGCTAAAGTCTTAATTCTTCAATTTAGGTAAAACTGTTTTGTCATTCATCTAGGATATATTTCCTTAGTGTTTAAACCAGTGCTGACTAGGTAATTTATGAGGGAAGTGTAGGAAACTCTTGAGTAAACTATATATTCTTTGTATAGAAATATCTTGGTTTACCTCTCTCACAATGTGCATTTCAGAACATTTCAGTCAAACTTAAGGCACCTTTTTTGCCACACATATTGTAACTTCTTATGTAAAGACTGTGGGGTGAGGGCAGAGAAAAGGAATGAGGCAGACAAATTTCAGTCCCTTCAGTGAAAGGAGCCCAACTCCTTTTCCCTGGCCACTTTTCTACCAATTGGGATAGTTCTACATATTGCTTAGGTTGTACCTCAGCTGCTTCAGTATCAGGAGTACAGGAAGAGGAAGAGAGGGAAAAGAAAGTCTGAAACAGCACCCATGGTGAGACTGAGACCAGGCAATGGGGGTTCAGGATTTCCTGTAACTCTGAAATTCTAAACATGCTCATTAGGATCAGTGTTGCCTAAAAGACTGATTTTTTAATGCATCTGTCCACTCCCCTTACCTTCTTCTGCTATCCCATCACTGTCTTGTTGACCAAGCAATTAAAAATAATACATTAAACCTGCCTTATTGACAAATTTATTACATACTGTTTTGACCAAATGTGGTAAAAAATTTTTTTTTAAATCAAAAGAGATTTTAAAAACAAAATTTTTAATTCCCATGCACACATTATCCAGGTCAGTTGATAAAGAGAAACTCTCAGTCAATTCCTTGTTATCAGTTGTGTTTACATTGATTTGTGATCTGCTGAGTGTTTCCCTGCCCTTGATTTTGTGAAAGTCTGTCTCCTTAAAATCAAATGATACCTAAAAAGCAAGGTAAAACTTACAGTAAGCCAGAAAGGGCATGTAACATGCTTAATTTAAGTGAGAAAGTGAAAATACTAGATTTGCTGAAAGATGGCATGTCTTTAGTAGAAGTTGGGTGGTGTTATGGGAAAAATGAATTAAGCGCCCATAGTACTATAACTCTATACATGCTAGGCATTCATGGTTTTTCCTCAGTGGCAGTCTCATTGGACCCATATACCTGCAGATACCAAGGATCCTACTGTATACCTTTTTACTCCCCTTCTGTTTATATCCTTGCTATACTCATTTCTAGAGATGTAGGCACACTTCACACAGTGTATAGGTGAGCACACTTTTGTTCTAAGAGTGGTTTGATACAGAGTTGGTGTAGAACAAGAGGAATATTTTGTACCTCTTTGGTCTTGTATTTATTTGTTAGTTTGTTTGCTTGCTTGCTTGAAATGCTGGTGATCAAACCCAGGGTCTCTGCATCCTAAGCAAGTGCTCTACCACTGACCTACATCCCCAGCCCTTGCCTTCTCTTTTGCAAGTCTCTTTCCCCTCTTTCTTTTCTAACTCCTTCCTTTGTTTGTCTCTACCTTCTTATACTAGGGCAGTATTCTTTGGTGTTATTGGTGGTCTTTATGCCTGAATAGGTGAAGCCTATCAAAGAGTAGGTCAGTTTATTACAATGAAAAATATCAGTCTGACTGGGTGCTGGTGGCTCACATCTATAGTCCTAGCTAGTTGGGAGGCTGAGATCAGGATTGCTGTTTAAGGCCAGACCAGGCAAATAGTTTGTTAGACCCTATCCCCAAAGTAGCCAGAGCAAAATGGACTGGAGGTGTGGCTCAAGCTGTAGAGCACCTGCTTTGCAAGCGTAAAGCCCTGAGTTCAAACCCCAGTCCCACCAAAATAAGTAAATAAAAACGTCAGTGTACTTGAAAGTGCACTTTGTTAGAAGAGATAACTTCTCATGCCTGTGGAACATTTGTTAAGTAATGCTTTTGCAGTTACTGTTCCTTCTATCCAGCAACCTGCTTTCTTTCTCTTGCCTCCTTGTATTTGGCAAACCTCATTACTTTCAGAAGACCTCATTCAAAAGTTCAAATGTGATAGTTGCTTTGCTACTTTACCTGATTCTCCCAGGCAGTTAGTGGCTCCTCTTATAGGGTTTTCATACCTCTGTATTAGCCATACAGTACTGCTTATTATTTGTTTCAATGTCCTTCATTAGAGCTTTGCAAGGGTAGGAACTGTATCCTTATTTTCTTGGACTTGGTGTATAGTCAACAAATATTTGATGACTGTCCTTTCTTCATGGAATAGGACTGCTTTTCTGTTTTTAAGGACCTTCCCATTTAATACAGGTGATTGTCAGTCACAAATAACCATGATACAAACTAGACTTAGTAATTGTCATGGAGAATGAAGAAATCACCTCTTGATTTGGAAATTAGTGACACCTAGGGTACTTTAGGCTTTATAGATGAGATAGCATTTAAAGTGGGCCTTGAAGGATGAGTGTGAAATGTGGAATTAACTGTATCTAACTTTTGGTGGTATGTGTGTGTGATACTGGGGGGTTGAACTCAGGGCTTTTTTTTTTTTCTTTTCATATGTGCATACAAGGCTTGGTTCATTTCTCCCCCCTGCCCCCACCCCCTCCCTTACCACCCACTCCACCCCCTCCCTCTCCCCCCACCCCCTCAATACCCAGCAGAAACTATTTTGCCCTTATTTCTAATTTTGTTGTAGAGAGAGTATAAGCAATAATAGGAAGGAACAAGGGTTTTTGCTGGTTGAGATAAGGATAGCTATACAGGGAGTTGACTCACATTAATTTCCTGTGCGTGGGTGTTACCTTCTAGGTTAATTCTTTTTGATCTAACCTTTTCTCTAGTTCCTGGTCCCCTTTTCCTATTGGCCTCAGTTGCTTTTAAGGTATCTGCTTTAGTTTCTCTGCATTAAGGGCAACAAATGCTAGCTAATTTTTTTAGGTGTCTTACCTATCCTCACCCCTTCCTTGTGTGCTCTTGCTTTTATCATGTGCTCATAGTCCAATCCCCTTGTTGTGTTTGCCCTTGATCTAATGTCCACATATGAGGGAAAACATACGATTTTTGGTCTTTTGGGCCAGGCTAACCTCACTCAGAATGATGTTCTCCAATTCCATCCATTTACCAGCGAATGATAACATTTCGTTCCTCTTCATGGCTGCATAAAATTCCATTGTGTATAGATACCACATTTTCTTAATCCATTCGTCAGTGCTGGGGCATCTTGGCTGTTTCCATAACTTGGCTATTGTGAATAGTGCTGCAATAAACATGGATGTGCAGGTACCTCTGGAGTAACCTGTGTCACAGTCTTTTGGGTATATCCCCAAGAGTGGTATTGCTGGATCAAATGGTAGATCAATGTCTAGCTTTTTAAGTAGCCTCCAAATTTTTTTCCAGAGTGGTTGTACTAGTCTACATTCCCACCAACAGAACTCAGGGCTTCTTGCCTGCCAAGCAGGCATGCTACCACTTGAGCCACTCTACCAGCCATAACTTTCTTATTTCATAAGTTTTTTATAAAAATAATTTGGCTAGATGTGGTGGTACATGCCTTTAATTCCAGCACTCAGGAAGCTGAGACAGGGCAATTGTGAGTTTGAGACTAGCCTGACATGTACATAGTGAGGCCTGCTTCAAAAAATAAAAACACAAAATTTAAATTCATAGGAACTGTATTATTTGATGTGTATTCTAGAGTCTTAAACATTTTACCAGAAGTAGTTTTCCTGTTTGAATCATTAACCATTTGATTTATGCAAAGGAAAGCATCTTATGAAATTATCAGTGTACACCCTTTCTTTGTAGGCATCAGTCATAAATTCAGGTATTAATATTTGGGATTAGATATGTTTCATCTATCTGAATATATCCAAACAAAAGTAGACATGAAATTTGAAATCTTTCTGACCCATTCCAGTGATTTTCTTCACTTATTTTAGCCACAGACCCCTTTGCTTCTGTATTTGGAAATGAATCATTTGGAGACGGATTTGCTGACTTCAGCACATTGTCAAAGGTAATATGCAATGGTTAGTGGGAAAGGAAAAGATGTTTCCTTCTGTCACAGAACCAGTTCCTCCTTTTAATTGCAGAACTCTCTTACAGCAACTTGATTGCAATAAGTCATAGTAAATGTTGATCTCAGATAGAAATGAAAGATAAGCTGCAAAATAATCATGTTTCTATATGTAAACAAACTATGGTGGTAGTACAGGCAATAATAATTTATCACTGAAAGGTTTGCTTAACAACATCATATTTCGAGTCTTTCTGTTTAAACATGTTTCTTCCAATTGAACTGCATTTCACCCTGTATGCTGTCTGGGCATGCTTTCACTATTAGTTACTTGATTGTATGCTCTGAAATTATTAGGGTCTACCAAAATATTAATACACAAATCCCAGAACTAAATGTCCACTGCCTATTTTCTCATGTAATTCTAGTATTGATTCAGGCCAAGAAAGAAGGATTTGAAGGTGTACCAAATTGTGTATATTTTAAGTCCCTAAGAACATTTGGCAATATCTAGAGACATTTTTGCTTTTCACAAGTAGGTGGAGGATGCTATTCATACCTAGTAGATAGAGGCCAAGGATGCTGTTAAACATCCTGCAATACACTGCCCATCCCCTCACAACACATAATTATTCTAGCCCAAAATTTCAGTAGTGCCACTGTCAAGAAACACTGACCTAAATAAATCTAAAATCATAAATTGATTCATTACAGAAAAGGCAGTCTTTGATTACTCCATCATTTGAAAGTCAGGACCTTCAGATCCACATTAAGACTTAACATTCCATGAGATCAGTTTGCTTTAAAAAATTGACTTTTAGTTTGCCTTTATAGTTTGTTTAGATGCTATTTTCTTTGCATTTGTACTAAATCTTTCCAATATTTAAGTGCATTGGGAAGCATGGAATCAGTAACTTCTTTCATTATCATCTGAATATTCATTTGAGGAAATGTATACACATCCACTTAAAAAGGGCCTTAGGTGGTTTTGCAGTGAAAGTTGCTTGAAGTTTGACAAGCCTTCAATCCAGAGTTGACTTGTTTTGGTATGACTTGTTCTTTATAAGTGGTGATGTAAAAATCACTATTCCTGTAATTTTTTCTTAAGATCCTGTTTATCCTTGAATGCGAAGTTAAAATGCTCCTATGCTCTAGGAGTTGAAATAAATAAAGCTGCATAATACTTTACTTTTCAAATGCTATGTGACCTTGCACATAAATATTTCTTTTTAAACAAAGGTCAACAATGAAGATCCTTTTAGTTCAGCTGCATCAAGTTCTGTAAGCAATGTGATCATTTCAAAAAATGTGTTTGAGGAAACATCAGTCAAGAGTGAAGATGTACCTCCAGCACTGCCACCAAAGATTGGAACTCCAACAAGACCCTGCCCCCCACCAGCTGGTATGAGAGTCAGTGCTTTTCCTAAATCAACTCGATGCCTTTTCGTTTTCTAAAAATATTGTGTGGGGCTTACTTACATACTGTATAAAGGGTCTCAAACAAAACAAGTCAAACACATATCAGAAACTTGTGCTGTCATTTGTTTTGACCTCAGTTCCATAAAGAGACATGTGCCTGAGAAGCCAGCATGTGTAACTGACATGAACTGCCTTTCTGGCAGGAGCTTTATTTTTTTTTTTTTCCTCAATTATTTCAGAGAGGTAGAAAAGGGGGAAATATATGTGAAGTCTCTCGTTTTTTTGAAACCCACTCATTATCATTTGAATAGCTGCTATAAGAGAAAATTAATTTCCTTAAATTCTTTAATGTAAGAAAACATGGTTTCTGATATCCAGAACTCAGAATATAGTGATGGAAAAGTATTACCTTTCTTGGGCTGGAGGTGTGGCTCAAGTGGTAGAGTGCCTGCTTTGTACAAAGCCCTGAGTTCAAACCCTAGTTTTACAAAAAAAAAAAAAAAAAAAAGTCCCATGTTACAAGTATTACCTTTCTTGAAGGAAATATTTTTAATCACTACTATAAAATAGTCTTTTAAGACTTTTTTTAAATAGTTTTTTTCTTAATAGTTAAGTTTAATAATTTTTTTCTTTAATAGTCTTATTTTATATTTGGTTTTGTTTAGTATGGTAGTGTTTTAGCACTATACAAAGAAAATGTTTGTTTTTAATACAGATAAAAAAAGTTCATTAAAAGTGCCTAAAAAGGCAGTCCTCCTGAGTACTTGTAGTGCTGCTAAGTTGCTCTGTGAGAAGACACATTTGGCGTATTAGTTTTTTAGTTCTTTATCATTCTTTGGTAAAATCTCAGCCCTAGTAGTTAGGTTATTACTCTTTCATAATACCCTCCCCATGGTATTTCTCAAGCAGATTATTCTTTTCTTTTTCGACTTAAAGGATTGTATGTACAATTATTGATACTCAGTTATCTATTGAAAAGTCAGGTAAATGAGTTAAGTTACTTCAGCCTTTTAAGGAAAAGTAGCCTATATCATATATTGCTAAAAGTAAGGTAGTCAAAATATGTTAAAAAATTTTATTACTCAGTTTGCTCATTTCAGTTATATATGTGTATGATGCCAACAGTGAGGTTATTTTTAAAATCCTAAGTAAAATGATTTACTCTGTCTTACTTAAGGCTAAGAATCTTCTGAGTATACATACATAATTGTAGAAAGATTCAGGAAAGAAGGGATAGTTTGTTGGAAAGACCACTAATTGGAAACTTAAACTTCTGGCTGTCCTCTGCCTTGCTCTGTAATATTTATTTATTTGTTCATTTGTTTATTTATTTATTTAGCTGTGCATAGTAGGTAAGAGCTCTATCACTGAGCTACAGCCCAGCCCTTGCTCTGTGATCTTATGTGTATAATTTCACATATTAAGCTTCAGCTGCCTTAGTTGTTAGGTGGTAGCAATAACTCTTAATTTTTCGTACCTTCACAGAATTATTGGAAGGATACATTGAAATATGGGCTATAAACATCTTTTGTAAGCTCTACAGTGATGGAAGTAATCTATTATGATTGCTATTACCAGCTTACTGCATTTTAGGGAAAACATACTTGATATTTTAACATTCACTCTTACTATCTTTTCTTCAAGAAAGATAAGTTTAAGTAACATTTTAAAGTCAGAGAACTTGTTTGAAAATGGCATTGTATTAACTTACGTGTGATAAACAGGAAATATACTATTGTTTGGTCAAAGATTGGTTTGTCAGCAGCCACAAAGATACAGGACTTCTAAACATTGTTTATTCTTTAGTTTGAAATATTATTAATGACAAAAAGTAGATGGAGTTTTGCCAGGGTAATTTATAATTTTATGCTACTGGGAAATATGTATGTATATAAGAAAAAAATCAGAATACCTGCCATTTTTTAAAGGCAATTTATTATTACTGCCACTAGTGGGTGACTGTCTTGAGTATCAGGCTGAAGTTATAACAGCAGAAGCTGTTGTTTTCTTTTTTCGTTATCATCTTCCTCCTGCTTCATCTTTTCCTTTCTCTCTTCTTGGGAACATACTGCTTTGAGAAGGGAAAGGTTTAATCTTTGGACAAAAATACGATTCTTGGCCCATTGTCATTTGCTATATTTCTTCATTTAGCTGCACATAGCTTGAGTTTGAGAGATTTTATGTGAAAAATCTGAGGACAAATTGTTGGGGTAGCCATTTAAGACAATATTAAGAATGTGAAGAAAAGAACAACAACAAATGTTGTGAGGGGATCCTCACCCCATCCTCTATCCTCAGTTCTTTAATGCTCCCTGTGTACATGTTCTTGTGTGCTTGTTCTTACCATATTTACCAGTTGAGTTAATTGTAATGATTTTAATCCAGGGAAAAGACCCATCAACAAATTGGATTCTTCTGATCCCTTTAAACTGAATGATCCATTTCAGCCTTTCCCAGGCAATGATAGCCCCAAAGAAAAAGATGCTGATTTGTTTTGTGATCCATTCACTTCTACTACTACCACTACCAATAAAGAGGCTGACCCAAGCAATTTTGCTAACTTCAGTGCTGTAAGTACTGTGAATGGGCTGTTTGGGGGAAAATGTTTCCATTTACAGTTTGAAGAGTTCAGAGATTACTTTGGATTCTGCCAAATTTGTATCATCTCAGCCATCTTGACCAACATACTAGAAATGATCTTTCATTCTTCTCCCCAAGAAAAACCTCCATTTTATTGTGTTTTGGTCATTCTAAAATTGTTCCATTGCACAAATGATTTTAGTAGCCCTAGTTCTTTTGATATATATAAGTTCTTTTGTAAACCCTTCTGTTAGTCTTGGTAATATACAAGTAAGTAAATCTTGACAGTTACTATGTTTGCAGATGGTTACAGATTATTGTGATTTTTATGGGACACTAGAGTATAATTTGCTGTCTGCCCACTGGATGAATAATGCTATTAATGAGCTTGTGTATTTGTAAATATATATGTGTGCTTGTGTATAAAGTTTTAATTATTTCTAGAGACCAATCAGCAACTAATATACTAGAGGATAGGGCCAGGGATTGTTTGAATAGAAAGCAAAACTCTTTATTCACATAGTAGTTTTGGTTTTGGTTTTTGGTTTTTGATGCTGGGGATTAAACCTGGTTCCTCACAATCTAAGCACAAAGTCAGTTTTATGAAATAACTATTGTCAAGATTTGAACAATTTTTAATTATTTGGAGAGCTCTTAATTCACCAGCCTCCCATATTTACTCTGCATTTTCTAAAATAGGAAGACCATTAGAAACCACAGAAAGATATGGCATAGGCAGGGCCTTTTAAGATCATAGAAATGGGGCAACCAACTGTGGAGGCATCATGCACCATCATATATTCAGTCATTATTTAGATTAAACCAAGTGTTTTGTTTTCTAATGACATCTTAGAGTAACTTAACAAAGTTTCATTTTCCTGGATTTTTTTTTCAGGCAAAATGGCATTCATTATCACTGCCTATTATATAACAGGAATTTCCCTCTATTTATCACCTTATACCCTTAATTTTGGAAATAGGAGATGTAGTAGCCAGCTGATCCTAGCCACAACCTGCCTAATGTTTTCCTCCTTTGTATAGCTTTGGGTCACTCAACTAGTTGCTGTATCCCTGCCACTATTCCTATTTAGAAAGCAGTTAAGCAGAAAAATCCAGGTGGCTAGTGCAGATACCCAGCCTTTGAATCTGTAATCTTAAGTTCTGGTGACTTCTCCTGAATGTAAAGGAGCACAATAAAAATCCATATTTTCAATATTGTAAAAATGGAGAGTCAGAATTATCCTGACTAGAGTCTCATTTCAGATGGAATTTGAATTGTTTTAAGTGGAGAGTCAAGAATTGGGTTTCACAGGATATTATAATTCTCTTAGTATAAAATAACCTTTTGGCAGTTTGTAGCATTTAATATCACATATTAATATCAGTATGGTTTGAGCAAGTCAAAACCTGGTTAGACTGAGTATTGAACAACAGCTGAGGTATTTTCTTATTTCATTCTCCAGAATCTCAATATAGTATAACATAATGTAGTTCATAATAAAAATATCCTCCATCTTTCATTGTGAAAGATGTGTTAAGTATTGTAAGTTTCACAGATCCTTTAATTCCCTTGAGATAAAGCTACCATCTTCAAGCCACCATCTTCAAATCGCCTGTCAGTTTCTTTTATTTCATCCTTTTATGTGCCTCCTCTATGTGAAAAAACTTGAAACCAAGTAGAATTTTTGTATTAGTTTCTGCCAAAATACAGTTTGGGGTGGATAGAAATATTTTACCATTCTAGTAATCACTGGTACTAAAGTTTTATTTAAACTGGTTCAAAACATTCTCTAAGCCTGCAAAATCTTCAAAATTCTTTTTTAAAAAATGATTTTGTTCACATCTTCCTCAGTATACACAATACTCATACATATACATATTTTTTTTTCCTGTGCCCTAAAGGGCTAGGTAATCAGTGGAATTAATCAAAATTATTTGTCCTGTAGGG